TTAGAGAAAGTATTCATATAGGTTTATAATAGCATCTTTGACTTGATTTTGTTTTTGAGCCTTAAATGGAACTTACCCTCAAACTTTGAATTTTTTTCATGAGGTCCTTTTGAAGTGAAAGGTGTCATGCAATTAATTTCTTTGGTGTTGTATTCAGCAGCATTTGTCTGTTTCTGTGCTCAGTTTAATCTAATTAATAATTTATCCTTATATACAACTATATAAGAAAGCAGGTGTTTTTAAGAGTTTACAAGAAAGCTCAATGACTGAGCCTATCTTGGCTTCATAATAGTATTTGAAACAGTAAGATCTTAACTTTGACCTTATTTTCTGTAATGCATTCACAGGTAGGGGGAAAAGCTTAGAAATGGTTACCTTGAAGTCAGTCATTGGAAATAGAAGGCATTATTGCATTATTGATTGCTGAATAAAGTTGATCTCTTTGCTGTCTCTCAGAGATTCATTTTACAGAACAACAACAAAAAAATTAGACAAGAATTAGGATAGATGAGAATTAGGAGACTACAACCCAAAAAAGCCCAAGTGTCAAAACAAAGTACCTAAAAATATATCAGGAGACTTAAACACAGCTGGGGGTGGGGGGTTTGTGAGTGACTCAGTAGAACAAATAAGAATCATGAGGCTTAGGAGGACATGACAGCCATGGGAACTCACCTTGGCTTACCTTGTCAACTGGGCCTGCCTCATCTGTGAGAAGAACATCACCATGTGTGCTGCAGCTATGTATAAGGGCAACGTTGTTCCAGGAAACCATCCCTCTCTTTACAAATGTGGAGAAAGAGAGCAATTTCCAAATAAAGTTCCAGGCTTAGGTTGCTAATGATGATTTATTGTTAAGAAGATGTGTACTGGTAAAGAAATTATTCTGTTATCATTTTGATGGTCCCTGAAATTCCTCTTTGATTTAATAAGTTCTGTGGAATTGTACATAACTCTTGTCTGGTGTGCTCTGGGAGTAACCAACTTCTACCTGTTTCTTCATTTCTTAGACACACAGACTGATGATGATGGACCTGTATTCCTTTTGTCATTCTGACTTCTCTGTTAAGTGTTCGCAAAATAAATACAGAATTATAGTTATTTCTTATTCTAATAGGGTCAGAACTCCAACCAGTCATTATTTTGATCTCCTGTATTTCCTATCACTCTTCGGGTTGATTGGGCGGTCCTTCTATTACACAGTGTTGGCTGTCACTCATATACCTAATTTTAGATGGCAGCTGGATTGGATGGTCTAAGAGGCCTGTCTCACCAGTCTGGTGTCTTGGTGCTGGCTTTTAGCTGGAATGTTTTGGTTCTCCTTCTTGTAGCTCTCTTCATGTGATGTCTCATCTGGGATTTTTAAAAAATTAACATAAAATGTATTTTTTCAGGGGTATGGGTCTATGAATCATCAGTCTTACACAATTCACAGCAGTCACCATAGCACATGCCCTCCCCAGTGTCCCATTACCCAGCCACCCTACCCCTTCCACCCCCCTGCCCTCCAGCAACCCTCAGTTTGTTTCCTGAGATTAAGATTGTCTTATGCTTTGTCTCCTTCCCCGGTCCCATCTTGTTTCATTTTTTACCTCCCTTCCCCTCATGACCCCCCCCAACCTTGCCTCTCAAAATTCCTTATATCAGACAGATCATATGATAATTGTTTTCTCTGATTGACTTATTTCGCTTAGCATAATATCCTCTAGTTCCATCCACATTGTTGCTAATGGCAAGATTTCTTTTTGATGGCTGTATAGTATTCCTGTGTGTGTGTGTGTGTGTGTGTGTGTGTGTGTGTGTACACATATGCATATATACATATATACATGCACACATACCATGTCTTCTTTATCCATTCGTCTGTTGATGGACATCTAGGCTCTTTCCATAGTTTGGCTATTGTGGACATTGCTGCTATAAATGTTTGGGTGCACATGCCCCTTTGGATCACTGCTTTTGTATCTTTAGGGTAAGTACCCAGTAGTGCAATCACTGGGTCATAAGGTAGCTCTATTTTCAACTTTTTGAGGAACCTCCATGCTGTTTTCCACAGTGACTGCACCAGCTTGCATTCCCACCAACAGTGTAGGAGGGTTCTCTTCTGGGATCTTTTTGTGTGACTTCTCTTTCCAGTAAGATAGCTTGGACCTTAAATCTCTGTTGTTTTTTTAGGGCTGCTAGGCCTTTTAGAGCAAAGCTCAGAGCTGGAACAGTGTCACTTCTGCAGGAGATGCTGGTCTAAGTAGTCACAAGGCCAAACAAATGAAATAGAAACTAAAAAGACAATCTAAAAGATCTTTATTATAGAAATTTTCACACATACAAATAAGCCAAAGAAAATGAAAACCATTTGGAATCCCACCACTTGATAACGTTTTATGTGTGTTGTCCCAGTCTTCTCTTTAAGTAGTATGTATGTATGTGTGTTTTATGTAAGTCAAAAAATGTTTTGTAGTCGTTCCCGACGAGTGTGTCACGAATATCTTTCCATCTCATTAAATATTCATGTTATGGTTACATTATTCTATCTACCGTCAGTCTGTCTCTTTCATCATTTATGTAACTGAATCCTATTGTTGGAACTGTTGATTTTCCTTTTCTACAGAACAGATTATCATGCAAAAATCTTAGATACAAAATGATTTTTGTGTATTTTCAAGTAAAATAAAATATAGCTCTAAGTAATGTAAACATTTGAAACTAAGTTCCTTAGTTAGAGATGAGTGTAACTCTTGGGACTTTTTAGGGAAAGGAGGAGACTTTATGGAAAATATTTCTTCATACTGTATATGAGGACTTTCAGGATGTAAAGCACAGATACCCCAAGTAGAATTGAATGTAATGAAAAAAGAAACTTATGAGTGAAGGTATCCATTGTCTGTTGCTGCAGTAATGCTGCAGAACATCCAGCTGCAAAACATCATTGACATAATAAGAAGTATTTGTTTTGTCCATTAGTGTATGGGGCTCATTGGATATCAGCTGGACTTGCTCATGCCTCTGTGGTCAGCTGCGGGTTGGCTAGGCAGCTCCGCTCATCTTGAGTGGGTTTGCTTAAATGTCTTGGGGTTGGTTGGCTGTTGGCCAGGACATCTTGACTCTATTTCGTTTTCTCATCTTCCAGCAAGCAAGACTGGGCATATTCTAATTACTGTTGCAGAGGAAAATGAGCAAGAAAGTAGATACACAAGAGCTGCTTTAGGCCTCTGCTTCCTTCACATATGCTACCACCTTATTGGCCAGAACAAAGCATATGAGTGAACTCAGAGTCAGATTGGGAGGGCACTGCCAAGGACGTAGATGCAAGAAGGAGTGACGAATTGGGGTCAATAATTCAGTCAGTCTGCCTGGCATGTGTAGCTAAAATGGTCTGGAGTAGATGTACCTTCAGTGAATGCTAGATCCAGGGTATCAAGTGATGTCACTTGGTTTGATTTCATACTCTAAAGTTTGGCTCTGGGGTGCCTGGGAGGCTCAGTTGGTTAAGCAACTGCCTTCAGCTCTGGTCATTACCCCAGGTCCTGGGATGGAGACCTGCATGTATCTCCTTGCTCAGTGGAGAGTCTGCTTCTCCTTCTCCCTCTGTCTGCCACTCCCCTTGCTTGTGCTCTCTCTCTATCTATCTCTCTCTCTCTGTCAAATAGATAAATGAAATCTTGGGGAAAAAAAGAAGTTTGGCTCTGCTTTCCTTTGCATTAGCTTCACTCCCTAGGCAGCCGTTTCCATATGGAGATCCTCTGAAGCTCCATCTCAAAAGCAAGTAATTCTAGCTGCAAAAGAGCTTGTCTTTCCCAATTGTTCCAACTAAAGTATGGTGTAACTCTTTTGGGGCCAGTGTGGACCACATGCCTATCCCTAACCTAAGGTCACTAAGGTAGTCAGTGTTAGAATAGAAATTTGAACCCTGGTTTGCCCTTCTCCAAAATCTGTGGTCTTAGTGTCTAAAACATGAAGAAAAATAAAGTATACTAAACATATCCTCAAAGGAAGAGCGGGAGGCCATTATGCACCACAATAAGGCCATTTGGGCTCAACATTGAAGGGATAATCACAACCCTGTATCCCAGCTACATAAAATTCTGCAACAAAGTTCTTGAGTGACTATGACAGGGAGCTTCTACTACTCTTCTCCAGGGGGTATGGGCCCAGGAGCTCTAACATGGTCTACTATTCCCTTGTGCCATTTCTCTTCAGGTGTGAATTAGTGTGGAGTGATTGTTTAGGTCAACCAGAATGGAAAAGAAGTCCCAAAACACCAGCCTGAAAGAAGTGTGTGAAGGGAGAAAAAGACAGGACTACCATTTTCTCTGGTAATAGCATTTAGGATCTGGCTAGATGTACAGGAGTCTTGATGGTCGAGCCTCCTTTTTTTTTCTTCTAGCTCCAAAATGGCCAATAGGTTCACTCCTGAGCCAGTATGAGTTGATTGGTGGTAAACCCTCTAGAGTGTTATGGAGAGAAGAGTTCCTGCCTTAGCGGAAATGAGGACTGTGGTGGATTAGTGATGTCTGGAATGTGTACAGCGGTGAAAAGTAACAACATGCTTGACTATTATGTGACGTCCTAGGAAGAAAAAGCTTCTCAGAGTCACTGTCAAGCCACTTGTGTATGGGGGCCATGCCCCTAGGATGGAGTATTTTATAGCAAATTTCCCTATGATGAAGAATTCTATGGTGAATTTTTTGGAAGTCCCAGCTGTCACTTAGCACAAACCAAAATGCAGAGCATCATTTTCCTGAGGAAAAATGAGCTGCTTCTTTGCTCTGAGAACTTTTGAGCTTGCTTGGGATTTGGGTGGGGGAAATAGATAAAATGTTTACATGTAGTAAATAAAGTTTGGGACTACTTAAAAAAAAATGGATATGGGTGTGGCTATCTATTGTTCTTGTATCTGTCATTATCATCATTGACCTATCAATATATTTTTAAAAATATAATATATTCAGAGTTCTAAAGGAGTTTGTTTTTGATTATTTTTTTTTTTTCTCATTTTTCAGATCCTCTGGAGTCATTTTCTGGTACAGACTGTGAAAAGAATGCATTGAAAATTCTGGCCAATAGTCGAAATACTGGCTTAACCCCCAACTTAGTATAACATTCCTTCTCTTCAATAGCACCTCATAATAGAAGAAAAATGTATGGAAGTGCAAGAACAATTACCAATCTGGAAGGTAGTCCTTCCAGATCTCCTCGTTTGCCAAGGTCTCCTCGTTTGGGCCACAGAAGAACAAGCAGTGGGGGAGGTGGAGGAACAGGCAAGACACTGTCCATGGAGAACATCCAGTCCCTTAATGCAGCCTATGCTACGTCTGGACCTATGTACCTGAGTGATCATGAAGGGGTGGCTTCGACAACTTACCCAAAGGGCACCATGACTCTGGGAAGGGCCACAAATCGAGCTGTATATGGAGGCCGAGTCACAGCCATGGGGAGTAGTCCCAATATTGCTTCTGCTGGACTTTCCCACACAGATGTTCTTTCATACACGGATCAACATGGTGGTCTGACTAGCTCATCCCATCATCACCACCATCAGGTCCCTTCCATGTTGAGGCAGGTAAGGGACAGCACAATGTTAGACCTTCAAGCTCAGCTCAAGGAACTTCAGAGAGAGAATGACCTCCTCCGGAAAGAACTAGACATCAAAGACAGCAAGTTAGGATCTTCCATGAACAGTATCAAGACCTTCTGGAGTCCTGAGCTCAAAAAGGAGAGAGTCTTGAGGAAAGAAGAGGCAGCCCGAATGTCCGTTCTCAAGGAACAGATGAGGGTGTCCCATGAAGAAAATCAGGTAGGTTATGACTCATCTCTGTGTTTTTCTGCCTTGGCTTTTCACTGAGTAGTTGATGCTTTGCAGATGGCACCACGACCTATGCGGAAGAAAGTTCAGCATCATCAAGAAAGCTATGGTTTAGGACGTGTTTGACTTAGAGACTACAAAAGGTCATACAAGCAATATGAAATTATAACTTCTGATCTTATTTTCCATTAACTTTTTCACACTGTTGCAGAAGAGGGGGAATCATTCTTTATTGCCTAACTTTTATACTTGGTTATTTTTTTTTCTCTTTCAGCAGTAACAACAGCAGCTCAGATGTACTTCCCTCTGCATCGAAGAGGAAAATGTTAATTTTTGCAAGAGTAGACACTTTAACAGCAACATTTAAAGAGCCACATTTGACTGATGAATTGATTTATTTTTGAAGTGAGAGCAACTTTATTTCTTTCTAGAATGAGTGGAGTTTATTCTCTAAACAGCAAACCAAATAATATTAAGTAATACTGGGTTTAATGGGTTTGATACCAGGTTGGAGAAACAAAAAAATTTGTGACCTGGTCTTTCCTTTATCCATTCATATTAAATAAGCATGTACTATGTGCAAGATACCTTCTTACTCTTTGATCTATCTTCCATGTTATAGCAAGATTAGTTTTCCCTGTGTCTACTTTCAGTTACACCATTTCTCTGCTTTATAGCCCTCAATAATTACTTATTGGCTTCAGAGTGAATTCTGCCATTTTGGCTGAGCCAACAGCACCTTACTTTGGAAGGCCTGAGCCAGGCTTTCCAGCCTTATCTCATACCTCCTCCCTGCGCATCTCCTGTGTTACCTGCACTCCCACTTGGTGATTCCTGCACTTACTCAGGGTTTTACCTCTTCAGTTCTTTGCTCTTTCTGTTCCCTTCTCTGGTAGCTTTCTACCAGAGTAAGGTTTCCCTTCTCTGGAAGCCTCTCCCTTCCTTTTCCCTTTTATAGTTGACTAGTCTCCATTTCCAAATCCTACCTATTCTGTGGGGCTCATTTATCTGCTCCTGTTTTCATAAGGGCCTCGGAGTCTGACATCCCTTAAATCCCAGCTTCACCTCTTACGAGTAGTGAGATAAGTGCTAGGAGATGGGGAGTAGAGTGCTGTGGCATTTGGTGGAAAAATTTCCGGGTATCATTTAACTTTCTGTAGAAATTTGAGATAATTCTAACTTGGCTGACCTTGTGATTCTTTGATAATTGGTCTTGATGTTGGCCTCACGAAGCTCTCTGCCTTTCTTGGGGTTGTCTGCTGGCCCTCCTATCTGTTGCCCTGGATACCACCCCTTGGAGTCCAAGTATCTTTAGAAGCATTTCTGATCTTTGTGAGAATCTGTTCTTCATTCTCTTCTATGTGTAGAAAGCAATCACCTTATCCTTTTGACTATCTGACAGAGTCTTTGCTGGTTTTCAGATGTGAAAGTGTGATTCTTAGTTGGAACAGAAAGTTTTGTTCTTCGGTCCTAAATCAAATTAATGCTCTTTACTATCATTTCTGCTTTCCCCCCCTGACTTTGCTGGTTCGTGATGTCTTTATGAACCTGTCACTGCTATGTGTATTTCCCTAATTCTGTACTGGTTTTCTTATTTAGTTGTTTTGGAAAAATGGTTACAGCTATTTAGGAATCATGCAAGTAATGACAAAAAAGTTTGAAAGCCATTCTTTAAACTGTCAGCTCAAAAATTACTTTTATCTTATGTTGCTATCATTAAATTTTTTTTTGAGCACAGACTCTCACTTACACATGTATGTTTACTTATAAATTACATGATGTGCTATTATGCCAATCTATTACGTGTCTTTTCCGACATTCACACAGAATTAAATATGTATGGAAGTTGTTGACAAAATAAAATAAATGACATATTGAGGTACATTTTAATGTACAAACAAAACCTTCATGCTGTTGTAAAAGCATTTTAAACCCCTTGTCTATTTTGTAAGGGTTAGTTTAGTTTAAATATCCATAATCCTACTTAACTGTCCCAAGTTGCTGTAAGCCAGAAATAAGTGAATACTTGAGGGGGCTCCTAGTACCCCTTCCTAGTTCTGGAAAATACTATGATCATAGGCTACCTTAGGTACTATGGGTGCCCTATGATCATGTGACATATCCAGTAAAAGCTCCAGTGTTAACCTTTCTATTAAATATAATTAAAATATAATCATTTTCTTTTTTAGACTAAAAATGCAAAAGGAGGAAGCAGCATGGAGAGTTTGAAAAGTCAATTTACTTGCAGTATTAGGTAGTATTACAAAGTAAAGAATATAAAGATTGACAAAAAGCAAGTTATTTTTTAAAAATTGAAGCACTGGGGCGCCTGGGTGGCTCAGTGGGTTGGGCCGCTGCCTTCGGCTCGGGTCATGATCTCAGGGTCCTGGGATCGAGTCCCGCGTCGGGCTCTCTGCTCGGCAGGGAGCCTGCTTCCCTCTCTCTCTCTCTGCCTGCCTCTCTGTCTACTTGTGATCTCTCTCTGTCAAATCGATGGATAAAATCTTTAAAAAAAAATAGATAAATAAAAATTGAAGCACTTCTTCTCCTGTAGGAATTACGTCAGGATCTGTTTTAGGAGTATATGAGTACCTATTGGTCAGGATAGGGTAGATCCTTCTGCAGCAATCAAATCTCAGTGGCTTAACACATCAAGATTTCTTCTTATTCACTGGAAATATGAAGTAGGTCAGGTGACTCCAGGGCAGCCCTCCTCTAGGCAGTGACTCAGGATTCAAGCTTTCTCTATCTTGGCACATGGCTTCAGGAGTTGTCACACCAGAGGAAGAGGGTGTGTGGAGATGGCACATTGGCTCCTCAGTTCCTTGGGCTGGAAGTGACCCAATTGCAAGGGATTGGGAGTTACAGTATAGTCCTCTCTTTTTTCCAGGGAGGAGAGTAAGATATGAAGGACATCTAGAAATTTCTACCAGTGGGGTTTTGGTGTTCGTTAAAAAGTGGAGCTAGATGAAATAAAGCTTGGGGAACAATCTAGACTCCTGCTGTTGCTGCTGTTTCTATTATTACTACTACCGCGACCAGTAGACCTCTGTTGGGGGCTTACTATGTGTCAAGCATTGTTCTTGGAGCTTTGTGTATATTAGCTTATTTACTGTTTGCATTAGTCACCTTGAGTAGGTGCTAGACTTTTTCTTGTTTTGCAGATGAAAAATAAATGTAGAGAGAATGAGCAGCTTGCCTAAGTTCACACAGCTAGTTAATGAGAGCTGGTCTTCAAGGCTTTGGTCTAGTTCATGGAAATGTCTAGGACTTAACTAATGTTCACCTATTCCTTACAGGAACACTGAACTGTGACTGTAATCTTAGTTTAATGGGAAGATCATATATGTTAGATGAAAAAAAATGACTTGTTCTGATAGAGTGACTAAGAATGTGATTTAGTTTAACGTATTTTTATTTATTTATTTTTTTAAAGATTTTATTTATTTATTTGAAAGACAGATCACAAGTACGCAGAGAGGCAGGCAGAGAGAGAAGGGGAAGCAGGCTCCCTGCTGAGCAGAGAGTCTGATGCGGGGCTCGATCCCAAGGCCCTGAGATCCTGACCTGAGCCGAAGGCAGAGGCTTAACCCACTGAGCCACCCAGGTGCCCTAGGATTTTTATTCTTTTTTTTTTTTTTAAATATGTTATTTATTTATTTATTTGTCAGAGAGAGAGGGAGGGGGAGAACACAAGCAGGCAGAGCAGCAGGCAGAGGCAGAGAGAGAAGCAGGCTCCCTGCTGAGCAAGGAGCCCAATGCGGGACTCCTTGACGGGAGCCCCTGGGATCCTGGGATCATGACCTGAGCCGAATGCAGCAGCTTAACCAACTGAGCCACCCAGGTGTCCCTAGGGATTTTTATTCTTTTTTTTTTTGGGGGGGGGCGGAATTTTTATTCTTAATTAGGAATTAATTTCATTTTCCTAGAAGAGGTTTTTTGTGCTGTTTAGAATTCCGACCATTTACCATTACTGACTGTAATTTCCCTTTAGAGGAAAAAATTATGGAAAATTTTTCTATATGAAAGAAAAAAATGTAAAGCCGATGGGGAACATTTGACTGTGGTTTCTTATGCACAACAACCAGAGACTGCATCTACAAATGTAGTTCAACCAGTGTCTATTTGGATAATTAGAAGTTTGCTAGCATAAATTCAGATGATCTAAAACAATTTGAACTATACTACGTGAATACAAATGGGAAGCAGGTCCATCATAGGGTAGAGGTCAGGAAGCTCAAGTGCTCTTGTGTATGAGATTCATGGTTCTGTGTACTTAATGGTCACTAATACAAACCTTTCACTCTTATGTGCAGTGTTGAAGAGGGAAACCACTCATCAGTTCTTTTGTACTATATTTTGAAGTTCTAGTGATTCTGTCCAGGGGAGGTGAACCCAACTCCTGATCTAAGAGAGGATGTTGAACACCTTTCCTGTGTTATAGAAAGGGCAGGACATTTGCAGCCTTGGGGGCAATTGGGTAGGGAGCTGTGACCAAATATCATACAGGCAAAGGATAGATACTCAGGTTCCTGGATGGGTATTCCACCCCAGACGCCTATCCAGACTCCTCACTTCTATCCCCTAGACTCTCTCCAAGGTGGTACTTCTCAGCCACGTAGATCTGCATGAACAGAAATAAATTTGGGACCACCAAGAGTTGTAGTATTGGCATTTGGAATCACTGGAGTGCATGGCTGCAATTACCCTTATGTTATCACTTGTGCTTTTTGCTTCATGATGTACTTTCTTGAATGGAGGAAGAGGGTGGTGGAGTATTATGACGGCTAGTTCTTTGAAATGGTGTGAACCCATAGCCTCTGCTCTCAATGTCACCCCTGTAGACTGATTTGGGGAGAGGTGAGAAGAAAAGATTTGGAGTGGGTGTTTGGCTGCCACTTGAGGTATCCCCCTTATTATTTGTAATAGCCTATGGAGTTGGGGTGGATGTTGAGGGCAGGAGAATCCAACTCCTGGAAAGTTAAGTGACC